TGTGTGCGTGTGTGCTTGTGTGCGTGCTCGCGCAGATGTATGTATGTGTATGTGATGTACATGGACATATGTATATGTGTGGCCCGTATGGGTATATCTCTTTATGTACCTATACGTATGTGTATGTGTGTGTGCATACGTTATGCACGAATATGCCTGCATGCCTGTATGTATGTGTATGTAGGCGTATGTATGTGTGTGTATGTATGTATGCATGTATGTATGTATTAAGCATGCAGATTTGCAGGCAGAGAGAGCATTCTGAGTCTGAGCATTTTCGCAAGTGGAGCCCAGCTTGGAGTTAGAAACCGGACATAAAGCTCGCATCCTTCAGACCCCGAAGCACTTGTCGGCAAGCATGTGCCAGGACTGGCAGCAGAGATCGCAGCAGACTACACCAAAGACGTGATTGAGAAAGTGCAGAGTCGAGCCGCGTCGGACCGAAGAACCTTCGAACATGCGCACATGTAACCGACTCTGTTCTCAGGTTTACTTGTGTGACATACAGACACATAGTGACTGTCTCATCTAGTGCTGTTTTGCCTACTTTAGTATATGTGTATGCAGCCTATGTAGCACAATAAATGCTGCTTTAGTTGTGCTTCCGTTAACCGTGATCGTCTTCCGCCTTGCTTACATTCACGACACGCTTGAAATCCGTGAGCCTTCGGATGTTTGGTTGTGTCAGTCTTGATGCAATCTTTACCCGGCAAGACTGAGCCTGAGAGCCGTTCCTGCTGGCCTTCCCAGCTCAAACCATTCCAGGTCCTCGATGAAGCCGCATCTAGGGAGACCCCGATGAAACCGCATCTAGGGAGACAAGCAAAGATCGTGTGTGTGGTTTTGAGGTGGTACATTCGAGTCTTTTGAGCGAGGCATGGAAGTGCAGTCATTAGAGCTGAGCCTCCGTGTGCTGAGACCTTCAGGCTATTGCACAAATCTTGATGCAAAAGAAGCTCGGAATGCTTCGCAAAAGTCTAGGCAATGCTTGCAGTTTGCAGCATGACCCCGGAAGTGCGCGAGCTGCCTCAATTCCCGTCGGAAACGAAGCGAAAGCACGTCAACCTCGCAAAGCAGGACTTGCCCATCCTCGGTTCGCGCCTGAAGAAGCAAAAACTGAAAATCCTTTGCTTCCCGAGAGGAAGTCGATGTGGAGGAGGTCCCGAATGTGCCGCCCGAAGCAGGATACTTGCTTTGATGTTTGTCATCGTCCTGCTTGTTCTGTACTTACATGCTGTGCACCTCGAACTGACATTGCAGCAGCGGCACTTGGAACTGCTGCTGTGGACAGCCCTGCTGTGGACCTCGGCCAAATGAGTTGGACATCCTAACCAACTCTGCTTTCCACAACGACCTAGGCACCACAGAAACCTTTTTTTCAGCTTGATTAGATGCCCTGTTCCAGCAGCCTTTCCTGCAAGGAGGCGCGTTGGAGGCTGTGCCGGAGCCGCCGGAGTTGCAGGTGCCATCCGAGAGAGGGTGTGAGAAACCTGCGTTGCCCTTCTGTGTTGCGAGGCCCAGCAAGAGGAAGCCCTTTAGACTGTTGCGAACAGTGACTTGATGACATGAGACGAAGTGTTCCTACGAGGCCGTCGGTGAGCCTGATGCTGCTCTTGGCGCCGCCGATAATCTACAGGACCTCGAACAGCTTGAACGGATCGCCACGCAATAGTTTAGTGGTGCTGACTAGGTGTGTCTCGATTCTATCATGCAGACTATTGTTTTTTTTTCTGTTGAGAGGCGAGTTCCATGCCCAGGATATATGTCGTGGTGTGATTAGGTGCTGTCGGGAAGCTTAGGCAAGCTTGGTCAAGCAACGATCTGCGCATCAAACCAGAGCGGTCGTGGTTCTTAGAGAGCATCAATGCAAGAACTGAGAGATCCACACATTTGAAGCCAACAAATTCTGCATGCCATCGAGCAAGGGTCACCGAGCTGTCAGGCTCGTAAGCTTACGTAAGCCCAACACGAATCTACAACCCCCCCCCCCCGTAAAAAGTGAAGACAGCCCTCAGCCAAAGACCTAATTGGATCGGACATGCAAGCCCGGAAGCTTGAAGCCCGCGCACATTGAGTGTCACACAACATGCAGCGCAAGGCCATCATTTCCCAAGAGCTCGTGCGACTGGAGGCGGTCCGAGGATGTGCTCGGAACAATCATGACTTCTCATGCCGTGAAGCAATGGCTGTAGTGCGAACAATGCCCAAAGGCTAGAAGTGCCAAGGCAGCCGTGCAAGAGGAAGCATGACAAGCCGGGGTTTGCTTCTGTGGAATGGGATTATGAGGTAAAGAGCTTATTCGGATCTTTCGCCTTGCAGGTAGCTGAGATCGTATTTTGCCCCGGTTCCTGTTCCCTTAGAGAGCGAGACATTTTGGAGGCAGAGTTGAAGATGCAGCTCACCCAGCAGCTTGAAGAGAAGCTCGAGACCGCAAGTCACGCATCTGGGTTCTCCAGGAAAGTGTTGCGCTCTGGAAGTGCCACGCCTTTCAGATGCCTCGGTTCTCCCGCAAGGAATGCAGCCATGCCAGCTATGCACTTCACGCATAGCAACTGCACAGTCTTATGGCTTGTTTGTTTACCGCATCGATGGTCTCAGCCGCCTCATTCCACAAGCTGCAGTTGACCTTAACCAGGTGCGACTAGGGCGAGTCCTGCCAAGGACATGCCGCGCTGTTGTGGCAGAAGCCTTGGCGCCGCAGCTGGCTTGCACTTGCAGGGCCCAAGGCTTCGACTGACTATTCATAGGGGTCCCTCTGTCACTTGTAGCTGACAAGATCTGCGTGGTAGCGTTGGCTTGCGCGTCTGTGCTTTGGTGTCATGGGCTGCAGTAGTGGCTATTTTTGATTGCTGGTGATGGAGGTCCGTGGTTGCTTGGTACGGTACGGGAGTACCCGGCGTAGTCATACCTGATGGGCCTCCCTCTCAAAGTTGATGAGTGATAACTCAAAAGACTTAACCGTCTTGAGCGTTGCCTATCTGGTGCTACATGCGAGTCGAAGCCAAGAGCCCGACTGTCCATACTCCGGAAGCCTCGAAGCCTCAAGCCGTCGGTAGCTTTCTCAGGAACGAAGTCTCCTTGAACCAGGAGCAGGCCAACGCTTCTGAGGCGGATCTTTTTGGTATCAGACGGTGGTTTGTTTCATGCTTTAGATTCACACTGGCCTTTTCTCTTCAGGAGGCTGCCGTTGCGGAGGCCGCGGATGCTGAACCGAATGCAGGGGATGCCGCCGAGATGACAGCGGAGCTCACAGCCACACCGGAAAAGCGTCCAGGCTGCAGAGAAGCTGTGTTGCCAGGGCGTGTTGCCATATGAATACATGCTGAGGCGGCTTTGTAGCACGGAGCGAGTTGGTGTTGTTTGCAGCAACAGGTGATGTAGGTAGATGACTCACGTGATCACAGTGCACTTGTTGTTGGCACACGGACTCTGCCGACTTCTTTCCTCCAAGCCGCAAAGACAAAATCCTGTTGGTATGCGTGCATGTGTGTGTGTGTGTGACCCCCCTCCCCTCCCCCAGTTGGTACAATGCCTGAGGGTTGAAAAGTCTATACCTGGCCTGAGTTATCATCCTGCTTCAGGGCCCCTTTGTTGCAGTTACATACTCCCCGGTTCTCGTGTGGAGAAATGCGACATGCATGGTTCGAGGGCGGCCACTGACAAACAGTGAGCATGATCAAGTGTGACGCATGGGCTGCATATGTATATGAAGATAGATCATGTCTGAACAGAGAAGTAAATAACGCACACATTTTCATATATACATACTAACTAAGCGTGTATATTATCTGTGTATGTATGTATATGTACATACATACATA